CTTTAGTTCCCATGACCTTTCCTCGTACAAGGTACCGTTTCAAACCCAACATGTGTTTCACCACCCAGCAAAGGAGGCAGGCAGGATGCCATGGCTTCTAGGAAGTTCTCCACCCTGTGCCCTGGAGGGGCTCAGGAATAGCTCACAACCAGTGCAAGTCAGGGGCTGGAGGTAAAGAGGAGAGGCCTGGTATATGCCGAGCAAATCCAAGATAGGGTGGACTCTGGAGTTGGATGCAGCCCTGAAGCTTCGGGGGATGGAGTGGGGAATGGCTTCATTCTCTCCTGGCCCCATCCTTTTTGTCTTTCCAATTTTAGCTCATTCTCAGGTTTGGGGTTTGAGAGTTAGTTTTCTACTCTGGGGTTAGCTGCCCCCAGCTCCATGCCTTAGTTTCCCCATCTCTGAAATAACCGCGTAGGACCAGACATGCCCAGTCTGGTCCTTGGAGGGGCTACCCATCTTGTCTCCTTGTCAAGAATTAATAGCTGTCCAGATGGGGATGGTACATACAGCATTGGGCGAAATGCTGGAGGAGGGCAGGTGCTCCTAAGGAGAGAAGGGGTGGTGAGGGCTTCCAGAGCTGGAAAGTGGAATGGATGCTCCCAGGGAGTCATCCAGAGCCTCTCCGAGCTTCCCTGGGGAGGCAGGGCAGAGAGAGTCATGGACCCCTGGAGTGGTGAACCTAGAGCATCCCTGATAAAGGGACACAGCCATCAGGGAAGTCACGGCGTTGCTGGTATCCTGAGAAAGAAAACTCAGAGATCCGAGTGTTACTGTCTGTGGAATATTACCCACTGTCCTCCCTGCAACCCTCACTACCACTTACCCACCCAGCAAAGACAGACCACCTGTAAGCTTTCAAGCTTTCTGAGTCAGCTGTCCACCGCACGCTGGCAAAACAGGCCACCCTTGGAAGGCCGTCCCTCCCCGTGGCAGACCGCTCTCCTGAGTCCACCTCAGACCACTCTTGGCCTCCTGACTGCATGAATGAATATACCCTGCCAAAGTTCAGCTCTGACCCTGTCACAGCCCTCTGCCAGTGTCCTCATGACTGCTCACTGCCTCTAAGGTAGACTTCACTGTCTTCCGACTGTGGCATCTGAGGTCTTCCCGGCTAATCTCCTTTCCCCCGTTAGCACCTTCTGCTCACCCACAGGTGAGCCTTCCAGCCAGATGGGGGTCTTGGGCCTTTTGGCCTTTGTGCCTACCTTCCCCAGCCTGGAGAGCCATCTCCTCTTGTGTCTCGTCTGTGTAGAATGCTGGTCAGTCATACAGCTACTGATTGATCGCAGAATCCATCTGCGGGGGTTTAAATCCCATCTCCCCGACTCTGAATCATGGGCAAGCCACTTAATGTTTCTGTTCTGCTTTAGTTTCTTTCTGTATAAAATGAGAATATTGTAGTCTCCTCATGGGGTTTTTGTGAGGTGTAAATAAAATAATTTTCAATCCCTCAGTACAATCCCTGGCATTTAGTAAGTGCTTAATAAATTTCAGCTCTTTTATTTGTATTATCATTACTATTCCCTAAGGCCCCTGTCTAATACTTTCTGTTCTGTTCCTCCAGGAAGCATTCTTCTTCCTCTGAGCTCCTCTAGGTTTCGTTCACTTATTCTAGGAGATGTGGGAGGGATCACTCCTGGAGACAGTCCTAGCTGTTCCCAGTTCAGTATTGCAGTCCAGAGTCTTCATGAGGTTGTAGGGACCTTCTTGTGCGGTGCTTGGACAGCAAGTAAGGACTGCTAGGGCATCTGATGTGCCTTGGAGGATACAGCAGGGAGCAGTTGAGGCAGGCCAGGCCTGTACCCCGGTGGCCTAGATTGTGTGGGGCTCATCTGTTCCGCCCATCTCTCGCTCTCCCTGGGGTTTGGACTGGTTCTTTATTCAGCAGATGTTTGCTCATACTCACATGCCTACTGTGTAGCTAGCAGCAAGAGTCGAATTGGTGGAGTGAGCAGCTTGCAGGGAACTGAGTCCACCAGAAACCAAGACATTTGTAGTTACACTGCTGTGGTAGAATCCAGCACAGGGGGCTGGACGAGCACAGAAGAGGCACCAGTGGTGCTGCTGGCTGGAGAGCTGGAAAAGGCTTCTGGGAAGAGGTAGGCTAGGCCTGAACCATGAGGTGGCAATGGAAAGTTAGGAGGTAGGGATGATGCAGAGAGAGCAGAAGGTGTCTAGGCCAAGGGAATAGAAAATGGTGTGTGTGGAGAAAGTATTCCAGTGTGGATAGAGCTTAAGTATGTGGCAGGGTGCTGAGTGATGTGGCTGGCTGGGGATGGACCAAGGAGGCCCTTGTAAGTTTTGGGGGAGTTTGGTAGAGCTTTATTTTGAGGGAGACATTGAACTCTTAGAAGTAGAAATGGTCAAATGTGTCAAAGTCTAGTGCTGGAGAATAGAATGGCATGAAGGGACCGGAGACAAGGGGTGATGGCCGAGGTGGTAAGAAGTGAAGAGATTCCAGAGTTAGTAGGAACTACATGACCAATTTTGGATGTCAAGTGTAACAAGGATGGTTTCAGGCAAGAATGGTTTGAGAATGACCCCCAGGTATCCTGTTTAGAAATTCACCAGGAAGGAGGGTGAAATGTTCATTTCTGGAATGTGGAGTGTGCTGATACAGGATATGGGCAGGAGTATTTGAGAGATATTTGTATATGAATCCAAGGTTTAGATCCAAGGCACCTCCCTTGGTTTAGAATCCAAGGGAGGTGCCTGCCCAACTATGCTGTCCTCTTTACAGAATAACCGAAGATTCAGCTGTGACCACGTTTGAGGCCCTGAAGGCTCGGGTCAGGGAACTTGAGCGGCAGCTATCCCGCGGGGACCGTTACAAATGCCTCATCTGCATGGTGAGAGGAGGGAACCTATGGGTGCCCTTGGTCAGGCTTGAGTGCCCTCTGGGGGTTGGAGAGGGTCTCTGCACTGTGATCTGACTTCTTGAGAGGGCGGGCTTCAGTGTGACCCTTTCTCTGCCCACCTCCTCCCTAGGACGCATACTCGATGCCCCTAACGTCCATCCAGTGTTGGCATGTGCACTGCGAGGAGTGCTGGCTGCGGACCCTGGTGAGGCAGCATGGAGATGGGAGCGTGGGTGGCTGTTTTGGGTACCGCCCAGGTGTCCTTGCTTATGTGTGAGCCTGCTTTGGGAGCGGGATGAGGAGGGGCAAGAGGCAAGAGGGAGCAGGAGCACAGAACACAGCCAGAAGCCAGGAGACCCCCTCCCCAGGCTCACCACATCTTGCCCTCCCCCTGTGGGTTCACTGCCTGTCTCTTCCCCCTGCCCACACCACCCCGCCCTCCCCAAGGCCCACTGTGTCACACACATTGGTGAGATCCTGGGTCGGGGGAGGCTGGGTGTGGGCAAGCAGGACCGGGGCCTCAGCCCCTCCCCCTCCCATTACTATGCTCCCTCTGCTCCTGCCCCCGTTCTTTGCGTGCGGGAGCAGCCATTAAAATGTCGCCCGGAGACAGCAATAAAAGGCCCGGACGTGGGCTCTGTGTCCTGATCAAAGGCCGCATGTAATCTTGTTAGGGCCGCAGCAGCCACAGCTGGACCCAGCCTTGTTCTCATTACTGGGGCTCCTGCTGCGGGGCTGGCCAGGCGGTTTGATCCTGGCATCCCCCCAGCACAGGAGCGGGCCTGCCTGCCTGCTCACAGAGGCCGCCGTGCATTCCCAGTCTAGGCCGACAGGACCGAGGTCCCAGCATACGACTGGTCCAGGCCTGGGTGCTCACATGAGCGAACATGCGGCTCTGTGTGCCTGACCAGAGCCCTGCCTGTTTCCCTGCAGGGTGCCAAGAAGCTCTGCCCTCAGTGCAACACTATCACAGCGCCCGGAGACCTGCGGAGAATCTACTTGTGAGCTAGCCACCCCAGGCAGGCCTTGTGTCAAGCAGCCCCGCCTGCCTCTGTGATGTGACCCTGTCCCTTGTACATATTTGCACACAGGTTCCCCGTGTACATACCTGCGCACTTGTGTGCACACACACACACACAGGCCTCTGGAGCCAGAGTGGAGGCTGAGGCCCAGGCCCTGCCTGCTGGCTCCCACCAAAACTGGGGATCATACCCATTCCAGGTTCTGTTCCCAGAGTGGGGCAGGTAGGTGTAGCAGGGCAAAGCTCCTGATATCCTGCCCACAGACAGACAGACTGACAGACAGACATGCAAACACCAGACTGAAGCACATGTAATATAGACCGTGTATGTTTACAATGTTGTGTATAAATGGGGTAACTCCTTACCTATACCTCCCCTCCCCTTTGGTTGTATGATTTTCTTTCTTTTTTTTTTTTTTTTAAGAACACCTGGAAGCAGTGCCTCCTTCAGGGCTGGCTGGGGGCTCGGCCCATCCTCCTCTTGGGGTGCCTGCCTCTCCCTCCTCCATGGTGTCCCTTCCCTCTCCCATGTGCTCAGTGTTCAGTGGTGTATATTTCTTCTCCCAGACATGGGGCACATGCCCCAAGGGACATGACCCTCTCCTTAGTGTTAGCTCCTGGGGCTCTTCGTAAGGAGTTGGGAACTGCGGGGGAGGCACAGAAATGGGAACCAAGCTACAGCAGGGGCTGAGACGGGGTGGCTGAAGGTGCTCCTGCCTGCCCAGCCTCGTGCTAAGAACCATCCCTGGGATTGGAGCTGCTGTTCCCAGGGAGAACTGCCACCTCCCTGCCCCTCCCCCGGGCCCCACGGTGTGATGCTGTGTCTGTATATTCTATACAAAGGTACTTGTCCTTTCCCTTTGTAAACTACATTTGACATGGATTAAACCAATATAAACAGCTGCTGCCTGTGTGTTTGTGTGTAGAGGGGTGTGGGTGCTCGGGGGTGTGGACGGAGGCAGTTAAGGGGTTAATTCCTGGCAGCAGGGTAGGGGAAAGGACTTGGCTATGGGTGTGGAGACGGGTGGGTCTGTTCAGGGACCCTGGAGCACTACCTGGGGGTGGGGGGTGGGGCTGGGGACCTAGACTCCTGACTATTGATGGGTGGGGGCTCCAGGTTAATTCTTTATTGATGTGGAATCGTCAGCTCATTAATCACAGAAGAGGTCAGAGCTTGGGGGTGCAGAGGGGATGCAAGCTCTAGCCCCCAGTCTAGGGCAGGTGAAAACACAAGCCCCAAGCCTCCAACCCTTTCCAGTCCCCTGAAACAAGCCAGGGACCAAAGGTGGAACCTCCATCTCAGCACCCCTGTGGCTTTTTTCTGTTCTCCAACCCAGTGACCAGTAGCTGAGTGTTGCTACTGCCTGGAACCCCAAGTGGAGATAGTAGAATCCTCTATAACCCAACGCAGACCCTCAAGTCAGGCAACTGCGGCTGGGCAAGCTGGCTCTGAGGTGGTGCCTTGTCAGGTCGTCATCCCCATGGCTGCCGACTACAGAGTGACGAGTGTCTGAGCTGAGGGCTTTGTCAGGCAGTGCTCAAAGCCACAGGTGCGTACTCACCCACCACAGAAAGCTTGTTTTTAGAAAATACTCTAAAATTCGAGACCCCAGAGTATCTCCGTAACTCCAGGCTCCTTTTATTTACAAATCCTCACGTGCCGGGTCCACCTCTAGCTTCCCAAATCCCCTGTCTCACACACACCAATCTCCGGGATGCCCACAGTGCATGTGATAGAATCAGGTCCAGTCGGCAGCTCCCGCCTCCTGCACCCAAAGACAAATCACCCCGATTGAAACCCCAGTGGAGGCCCATCACAGCTCCATGCCCAGTTTGATGGCTCCAAACAACCTGAGCACAAGGATCCTGAGGCCAGAGATTCTATGGGAATGTATGTGGCCTGTCCAGGTGGAACAGCCACAATGGCGCTAAGGGTTTGGAAGACAAGTAGACAATAACCAGTTCCCATGAGGCGGGCTCAGTTCAGGTCTCCAGTCTCCCTTCTCCCTGCCTTGGACTTTGCAGGTCTTTCATGGCTGGGCCCACGTACTGAGGGTGAGGGCCTGAAGCAGACGGTGTTGTGAGATTCTTGATCTCCCATTCATGACGCAGGCAGCACTGCCACCTGTTGGCCATGGCTAGAAATGCAGCCACACAGCCTAGGACTCAGCGGCCAAGTCCCCAGAGGGCCCACGTGGACTGACTCCGTGCAAATAGAGCTCTCAGAGGGTCCACCAGCCCTGAGAACATGAGGGCTAAGCTCCCTCCCAGAGCTTTTCCAGCCATCTCCTCCACTGCCTGTCAAACTCTCAAAGCTCGGCACCACCCCCAAGTCCCTTGATCACCACAGCAAGCTTCTTCGATCAACACAGCCTGAATGCCTATTTTGTGCCAGCACTGTGGAGCAGACTTGTGGAATGTAGGGGATACAGAATTCTAAGGCTAGAGCCACCACTCCTGCCCAGAGAGGATCCAAATGAGACTCCATCTCGGAGATGAGGGAGTTTGCTGTTTCAGCCAAACAGCCCCTGGCCCTGGTGCTGGTCTTCTGGGCTCCTGACTTCACCTGTCCCAGCTCCCGTACAGCACTGCTGTCTTCCTTCTGCTCCCACTCCATCTGCCCATTGCACACTCACTTTGCAACCTTCCTAGATCCAGTGGTTTCCTGGCAAAGTGTGGACCTGGGCAGGCCCACCACCTCTGCACCCTCAGCTCCCCATCTGCCTTCTACCTCAGACACCCTGGCAGTGAGGTCAGAGAAGTCTGCATGAAATGCCAAGAGGCATCCATGGGGATGGTACTTCATGCCGTGGGGCTTTGCCCTTCTAGGGACTTGGAGCAGAGATCACAGCGCCTGCCCCAGCCTGATCCTACCCTCTGGCACCTCCTCACAAAGCTCACTTCCCATTCAAGGAATCAGAGATGAACCCAGGGGCTATCAGCCCCCCACCTGCACTTGGTTAACCCCATTGGCCTAAATGCCACAGGAATCGGCAGCCTGATGGCTACACTGGTCCAAACGCAACCACCGCCAGGCTCCCACAGAGACATGCCCAGGGACTCCCACCTGCTAGGATCCTGGGATAAGCAACCACCACAGTCCCCCAGGACAGGGCCCAAGGGAATTCTCTGCTTGGGAAACTGCAAAGTCCCAAAGGGCTGAAGGGAGTGGAACCAGAAGAGGACCCCACCCATGCATACAGTTTGTAGGGAGGTGTCAGGCATTTATTTCTGGAACAGAGGTGAGGTGGGTGGGACAAGGATCTCAGCAATGGACACAGCTGCGCATGAAGTTGACGCAGAGGCTCGTGTAACGAGTGGGGTAGTCACGGAGGTGGCTGACATGGGCAGATGACACGAAGTCCACCGAGTGCACCACAACCTGGTGCGCCAGGCGGGCCTCCGCCATGCGCTCCACATCCCTGGCCAACACCACCTCATCGGCCCTGGAGTAGAGGTAGAGCTCGGGCCAGCCAGAGGCCGCATTAAGTAGCCGGTCATAGAAGTGGGTGTGGAAGAGGGCGGTGAGTGGAGCGAGCAGGACATGGAACAGGACTGCTACCAGGGTGAAGGCCACCAGCAGCAGCAGGCGCAGTGCGGCAGGCCGGTGCTCCAGGACGGCTGCCAGGGCCCGCAGAGCCCCCACCAGGTTGCTATCACCAGGACCGCTGTCAAAGATGGTGCCCACCACACGCAGATGGCAGAAGCGCCGATGGGTGTGCAGGAGCTCCAACACGTATCGGTACAGCATGGCACCGGCGTTGCTGAAGACATGGAAGAGCAGGGGCTCCTTCTCAATCTCATAATCAAAGAGGAGCTCAAGTAGCTTCTGGGCCAAAACACGAAGTGAAGGGATGCCCAGGGACTCGGAGAAGAAGACCATGTGCCACGGAGCTGTGTATCGGATCACGATGCAGCCCTGAGGAGAGGAGAGAGACCTGACTGATCCTCAGGGATGGGGCGGGTAGGGACAAGCTAAGGTCAAAGGGGTCCAGCAACTCCAACCTCCTCAGGCCCAGAAGCCTTAGCAGTACTCCAGGCCTGCTGCAGCCTGGGCACCAGCTTACCACTCACAGACACAGTGCCTTCCAGAGTGGAAGGCTGTAGAATAGTCACTGGCCAAGCCCCCTCAACCCAGGATGGTATGTGAGGCCTGGGACCCAGAGCACGCTTTGGAGACGTCTGGGCTGACCAGAAGGAAGTCTCCTCACTCTGGTCCACTTCCGGTATCCCTCACACCTGTAACCTTACATCCTCATCTGCTCAACTCTGGCACTTTTAAGGCCTTGCTGCTTGGCTACACCCTGCTGCAGTGACTCCCCTCTGCACTGTCTCTGCCTCCCAGGCACAAGGAGTTACCCCCATAAGACCCTGCAGACCCCAGCCTTGACCACCAGAGGCCACTCATGAGCCAGATCCGCATCATGTGTCTCTGGCCACTGCTACCTTCTCACAGGGGCCCTAAGAGCAGTCCATACTTTCTGGCATCAGGCACCTGGCACCCACTTGCCAGGGATCACTCCTCCCACCTACCCTGAAATTCCATAAGTAGTAAACACTGTCATTCCTCAAATTCTAAAATCTGAGCCAAATTCTCTCTAGGTTTCTGTACCACTCAATACATAAGTCAAGTACGCCTCAAAGTCTCCAGACGGATCCTCTTCTAGGCCAGTTAGAAAAGGAGGCCAAAGCCATGTCTAATTAGCCTGTTCTGGAGACAAAGAGCCCTTTGTTAGGGCACTCAGAATTAGGCAGGCTCTAGGGTCAGACAGTGCTGGGTTCCCAGGGCTGGGTTCCATTCCCAACACCACTTATTAACGGTATGGACAAAGATGAAAATGTGTCAGTGGACAAAGAGCAATTTACTTCGTCTTTCTGAGTCTGTGTCTCCATCCATCTCATCATGTTACGGTGAAAATAAAATGAAAAAAAATGCACCTAAGGGTCCACTACTCAGCACCTGGCACAAACTAAACTCTTAACTAATAGTGGCAGTAATTAGTGATGGCAGGAGGAATAACAAAGGCCACTACTTGAATGGCCCATAGCCGAACCAGGTTGGTCAGCTGAGGCAACCCCTCGCTGCAACACTCCAATCCGACAGCTGCTCCGCTGCTCTTCCCGAGGCCCCGGCACACCTAAGCACCCCTCCCAAGACTGCAGAGGGGGTCACTGATGTCTCCTGGCCCCTTGGCTCTGGAAATTTCACAGAGTGCTCTGCTCTCACTCCTCAGGAGGATGTGAAATGCCTTCCCACCCAGCCCCAACCCACACACAGCATTGCCCACCAATGCAAACACACTCCTGCCACACAACCACACACACGACTCCCAGACTACAACAGAACCCGTCCGCCTCACATCCCACAGATGCAGACACCCAAGGCATCTGCCACTCACTAGGGTGCACCCACTGCAGCACCTGTGAGTACACAAAAAACAGAGCTGCCAGCACACACCCACGAGCACACATACCACTGGTGAGGACACACTTTCATGTTGCACTGCCTTGAGTGCATGTCTGTGTGTGTGCACACACCTGCTTCTCCCAAGGGACATTCACATGCAAAGCTACCTGCTGGTACAGACCTAAGTTCAGCAATCCTGTGAATGCACCATCTTTGAGGGCACGCATAGTGTCCCTCTAACTCCATGTGCCACCTGGGTGTACACAGAGCTCACCCTGTGAACCCCCAATACTCCCTGTGAAGGCCCCCACACACTGAGCTTCCCTGCACCCAGAGATTTGGGCCTCACTTGCTGGTTTCTGAGGTGCCTGCCATCTCTGCTGCCACCTCCCTAGTCCAGTGCTCTTAGAAGTCCTTGTGCCAAGGACCTGGGTCTCGCTGCATGTCCAATCCTAGTCTCTTCTCTCTCCCCAGAAGCAACCATCACTCCATGTCCACATATGCTCGTCCCAGGACAAAGCCCTGCTGTGTGGCTCCTCACCAATCTCTTCTTTATTTTCAGTCTCTTCTCTAGATTCCTACACAGACCAATCACATTAAAAAAAAAGCTCCTGCTTTACACCAGGTTCCCCTCTAACTCCATCCCCCCTCCTCTCCACCTCACCCTTCCCCTCCCACTGGCTCCAGTGAACAGCTAATCTGCTCCCATGGAGGCCATCACATTCTCCCAAATGGCCAAATCCCGCGACACCGTTCAGTGCCCATCACACCGCCCTTCCGGCCGCATTCGGGATCGCACGCTCCTAGACAGACTCTCCGGTGCCTGGACTCTTCGGTAAGTTGTTATCATGAAAAAGGGGGACTGTTCTAGATTTAAAAGAGGGCCCAGGAACTAGATGCAACGGCTGATCCTGGATTAGATGCTGTTCGGGCAAATCAGTTATGAAGGACACTTTGGGCACCATTAGAGCATCTGAGTAAGGACTAGAAACTGGATGAGATGAAAATGTGCCAACATGCGAGGGTGGAGCCCACGATCTGAAAAAGAGCGGACATACGACAGCACATTCGGTAGATCTCGTTTAGGTAAAGAAAAGATACGCACACAGAAAAAAGCTGAAAGGATGAGCACTAGCGTGTGAACAGAGGCAATCGCTAGGTGGTGGAATATGTGTTTTTATTTTCTTTTACATAATAAAGTATTAGGAGTTTGGGGTTGAGAACTTTTCCCCACACCCATCCTGCCCTCCCGACCACGGGGTAAAGGCACCCCTTCCTCTCCCAGACGACCCTCCGCCGGCCCTGCCGCCTGGAGCCCTCTGCCTTCCCGGGGCTGACCCTTTCTCCCTGTGCCTCCGCCTCCACGACATCTTCCCTCTTGCCCTGTCCAGTGGCCAGTTTCCCAAAGACTCTCTGCAGACCCTGCCACGCTTTCCTGGGTTTTCCTGCCCCTCTTTGGCCACTCCTCCTGTCCTCATAGGACCCTCCTCATCCTCCACTCCAAATCTGGCCTCCTCAGAGCTGTCTTAGGCCTCTTCTCCTTGCCCTCTACACACCCCTGGGGGAAGCTCATCCACCTGAGAACCTATGGCTTCTCCTCCAGTGATCCTTGTCTCAAAAAACACCCCCCACCGCCCAGGAACTGCCGCAGCCAGAACCCCGGCATATGCTGGCCTCCAGTCCGGGCCCTTCCAATCCTTCCCCTGCTCTGCAAATGAGGGGCCTTTGGAAACACAAATCTAACTTCCCACCCCTGCTTAAATCTCCTAAGGACCCTCCTCGGCCTCATCTCTTAGCAGGTGCTCTTTATTTCCTCCTCTGTTCTAGCCACACTCACCTATTCCTATTTCTCCACTTGCCCTCGTGGGTCTTTGTCTAATGGCGAAGCCAGACGAAAAAGCCCCACCCACTGAGTGGAATTCAGAAGTGGCTGAACTGCTTGCACAGTAAGGCAGCCTATAAAAGGCAATGCCGAAGGACCACCTTGTTGGTTGTGAGGAGCCTAAGCTCAGACCTACCCTTTCTCCCAACCCTTCTCCATTCCAGGGCCCACACACACCTCAGACACAGTGCACACATGGGCCAGCAGAGGGATGCCAGGGGGCGGGAGGGGGAGCTCCAGCTGGCTTTTCTCCCAGGTAACGCCTACTCCTCCTCAGTCCGGGGCTCCCAGTTGGCAGCTGGGGCTGTGTGCACTGGTGCCTCTCTGCTTTGGGAGGTCTGGGCTGAGGGGGGCAGAGCAAGGTCGGGCCAGAGGCCAAAGATGTAAAAGGGGCTTCAAAATATAACCAGGCCTACCCTGGGGGGTAGCTCAGTTGGTCGGAGCATCATCCTAATATGCCAAGGTTGCAAATTCAATCCCCGGTCAGGGCACATATGAGAAGCAACCAATGAACGCATAAATAAGCGAAACGACTAACTGATGTTTGTTTCTCTCTCTCTCCTCCCCCCTTCCCACTCCCTCTTCCTCTCTCTCTCTCTCAAATAAATAAATAAAAATTAAATATATATATTTATTTATTTATTAAATATATATTTTTCACATCCATCTGTCCAGGCCCTCCTAAGGGCTCTCTCTAATCACCACAACCTCCACATCCAACTCTTGGTGCAGCTGGACAAGCAGCAAGGAAACCTCAAGCCTGAATCCATTCTCCAAGAAACCCTTCTGCTCTGGGAAACCGAAGGCGCTACGGTCAACCCTAAGACAGAACCTCGTCTGGTCAGAAACGGAGAAAGTCCTGGGAGGACGCACTATGCCCAGCACAGCCGACCCAGGTTCCTCTGCCCAGACAGGCCATCTCCTGCCAACAGACACTTGAGGTCTGGACCGACTCCACAGCTGGGAGCACATCTGAGCTGGGCTGCCCACTGCAGGATTTGGGGAGGAAGGAAGGGGAAGCAGGTCAGGGGGCTGGAGAGGACAGTCCAGGCCATGGAGGTGACAGCAAAAGGGGGATAATCTTGCCAAAGTCCCCAAGATGCCAGCATCTTCATCACAGGCTGTTCTTGGTGCCATTCCCAGAATAGCCTTCGCTGCAGCCTGAAGACAGGGCAGCCAGGCTCAGAACTACCCCCATTCCCTCTTAGAAAGGTGGCAGGGCCCCGATGCTCCGTGTGTCCGCAGCTTGCAGTACTCACCCTTTTGTGGTAGATGGCGCTGTACTTGGCAAGGTTCTTGTCGGAGCAGCCACCCCAGCCCAAGAGAATCACTAAAGGCTGTCGAGTCCCAGCCTCCTTCCCATCTTGGCTCGGGCTGTTCTCTGAAATAGACAGATGAGACTGTCAGCACTGGAGCTGGGGTGCAAGGTGGGGGGTGGCTGGCCAGTCCAGAGTCAGCACCAGTCTGGCTGCAGGCAGGGAACCAACAGGTACCAGGCCCAGGCAACTGACCAGCCCCAGCGCCACAGGTTCCCATGGGGCTCCTTCCTCTGTCCCTGCTTCAGGTGGCTTTTTGGCCTCTCGGGGTCATTGGAAAAACTCACACAAGGGCACCTTTCTTTAGTGACTCAAAGACATAGGCCAGGTGAGAAAAGTGAATACTTTCTCCCTGCAATTTTACCTTCTAATCCAGGGGTCGTCAAGTTACAAGCCATGGGCTGAAGCCAGCCATGGTCAGTTTTTGTATGAGCTGTGGGCTAAAAATGAAAATGACTTTTACATTTTTATTTTTTATTATATTTTATTATTATGCTATTACAGTTGTCTCAGTTTTTCCCCCTTTACCCTTCTCTGCCCAGCACCCCTGACTCCCTGAGGCAACCCCCACACCATTGTTCATGTCCACGGTTCATAAATTCTTTGGTGACTCCCTTTCCTGTACTGTACTTTATATCCCCAGGGCTATTCTGTAACTGCCTATTTATACTTTTTCATAAAGATTTTATTTATTTATTTATTTATTTATTTATTTATTTATTTATTTATTTATAGAGAGAGGGGAAGGGAAGGAGGAAGAGAGGGAAAGAAACATCAATATGTGGTTGCCTCTCACGCACCCCCTACTGGGGACCTGGCCCACAACCCAGGCATGTGCCCAGACTGGGAATCAAACTGTGACCCTTTCGTTCACAGCCCGCACTCAATCCTCTGAGCTACGCCAGGCAGGACCTATTTGTACTTCTTAATCCCCTCACCTCTCACCCATTCCCCCATTCCCCCTCCATCTGGCATCCATCAAAACACTCTCCATATCCATGATTCTGTCTCTGTTCCTCTTGTTTGCTTAGTTTGTTTTTGAGATTTAATTTTTTTTAACTTTTTTATTGATTATGCCATTACATTTGTTCTATTCCCCCCTCCACTCCCCTCCACCCTGCATACCCCTCCCCCACCATTTCCCCCTTTCATGAACACGTGTCTCAAATTCTTTAGATTCTGTATTTCCCCTACTATTCTTACCCTCCCCCCTATCCATTTTCTATCTACGGTCTATGCTACTTATTTTCTGTACCTTCTCCCCCCTTCTCCTTCTCTCACTCCCCTGTTGCTAATCCTCCACGTGATCTTCATTTCTATGATTCACTCCTGATCCAGCTGTCCTCTTGATTTGCTTTTGTTTTAGGTGTGGTTGTTGATAACTGTGAGTTTGCTGTCCTTTCACTGTTCATGTTTTTTTAACTTCTTTTTCTTAGGTAAATCCCTTTAACATTTCATATAATAAGGGCTTGGTGATGATGAACTCCTTGAATTTGGTCTTATCTGAGAAGCACTTTATCTGTCCTTCCATTCTAAATGAAAACTTTGCTGGATAGAGCAATCTTGGTTGTAGGTCTTTGGATTTCATGACTTGGAATACCTCTTTCCAGCCCCTTCTTGCCTGTAAGGTCTTTTTTGAGAAATCAGCTGACAGTCTGATGGGAACTCCTTTGTAGGTGACTGTCCCCTTATCTCTTGCTGCTTCTAGGATTCTCTCCTTCATTTTAATCTTGGCTAATGTAATGATGATGTGCCTCGGTGTGTTTCTTCTTGGGTCCACCTTCTTTGGGACTCTCTGAGCTTCCTGGATTTCCTGGAAGTCTATTTCCTCTGCCAGAATGGGGAAGTTCTCTTTTATTATTTGTTCAAATAAAGTTTCCACTCGTAACTCTTCCCCTTCTGGTACCCCTATAATTCGAATGTTGGAGTGTTTAAAGATGTCCTGGAGGTTCCTAAGCCTCTCCTCATTTATTTGAATTCTTGTTTCTTCATTCTTTTCTGTTTGGCCAATATTTTCTTTCTTCTGGTCCACTCCATTGATTTGAGTCCCAGACTCCTTTCCATTACTATTGGTATCCTTTGCATTACCATTCATTTCAATTAGTTTAGCTTTCATATGTTTCTCTAATTTGCAACTAAAATTAACCAGTTCTGTGAGGATCCTGATAACCAGTGTTTTGAACTGTGCATCTGAAAGTTTGGCTATTTCCTCATCACTTAGATTTATCGGCTCTGGGGCTCCGAGTTGTTCTGGAGCCATTTTTGGTCTGTTCACGCCAGTAAGTAAGTAAGAGGGGCGAAGCCTTAGTTGTTTACCAGGGCGGGGCCACCCAGGTCGCTGGTTGTGACGCTATTTGGGGGGGGCGGGGTCAGAGAGGGAGCAATGGCGGTCCTCTCCGCTAGCCCAGTTTGTTCTGTCCCACCACTTGCCCCGGCCTGTTTAACCAAGCAGAACTGTCCGAGCCTGCTGCCCCGCAGTCTCAATGCTAGCCTCTTCACTGGTTTATCTGCACGCAAATGTGCGACCTACCGCAGACAGCCAGCCGCGCCTCTTCCCTGTGTGCGCCCATAGCTAGCCCTCCATCCACGCCTTCAGCTGCTAGCGCGCCACCAGGTCAGGGATCTTTTTGGTCAACCGGCTTCGCTGCTGGCTTACCCGTTTAGCCGAGCATTTCGCCCTTTTTTCGGACTCCGTATTGTCGATTTTCTGTGTGGTCTGGTTGTGTTTATCGTTGTTAAAAATAGTTGTTCTTAGATTTGGTTGTGCACGGAAGCAAGATGGGTCCACCTACACCTCCATCTTGGCGGAAGTCGAGATTCAATTGTTGATAGATATGTATTTTTGCCATTTTATTGTTCACAGTTTTGACCTTTTTTTCTTAAATAAGTCCCTTTAACATTTCATATAATAATGGTTTCGTGATGATAAACTTTAGTTTTTTTCTTGTCTGAGAAGCTCTTTATCTGCCCTTCCATTCTAAATGACAGCTTTGCAACTTGGCTGTAGGTCCCTGCTTTTCATGACTTTGAATATTTCTTCCTAATAATCCCTTCTAGTCTACAAGGTTTCTTCTGAGAAATCAGCTGACAGTCTTATTGGAACTCCCCTGTTAACCAACTGCTTTTCTCTTGCTGCTTTTAAAATTCTCTCTTTATCATTAACCTTTGGCACCTTAATTATGATGTGTCTTGGAGTGGACCTCTTTGCATCAATCTTATTCGAGACTCTCTGTGCTTCCTGGACTTGCCTGTCTATTCCCTTCACCAAATTAAGGAAGTTGTCTTTCATTATTTTTTCAAATAGATTTCCAATTTCTTGCTGTTTTTCTTCTCCTTCTGACACCCCTACAATGTGAACGTTAGAAAGCTTAAAGTTCTCCCGGAGGCTGCTTTTTTATTATTATTATTATTCTCATAATCCTCATTTTTATTATTATTATTTTTATTTTTTTATTTTATTTTTTTTCTTCTTGCTGCTCTGTTTGGTTGTTTTTTGCTTCCTTATGTTTCAAATCATTGATTTGATTCTCGGCTTCATCCACTCTGTTGTTTTGCTGTAAATTGTTCTTTATTCCAATGAGTGTATTCTTTGCTTCTGTCTGAATCTTTTTTTAAGCTGCTGAGGTCCTCACTAATTTCCCTAAGCACCCTTATAACCAGTGTTTTGAACTCTGCATCTGATAGATTGTTTATCTCCATTTCCTTTAACTCTTTTTCTGGAGTTTTGATCTGTTCCTTCAATTGGGCCATTTTTCTTTGTCTCCTCGTTTTGGCATCCTCCCTGTATTTGTTTCTATTTATTTATTAGGTAGAGCTGCTGTGACTCCGTGTCTTGGTCGTGTGGCCTAATGGAGTAGGTGTCCTATAGGGTCCAGTGACACAGCCTCCCCTGTTACCCATACTGAGTACTCAGAGTGTGCCCTTCGTGTGAGCTAAATACACCCTCCTCTTGTAGTTGAGCCTTGGTTGCTGTTGGCAGGTCCATGAGAGGGATTTACCCAGGCCAGTCAGTGACAAGGACTGGCTGTGACCACTGACCACCAACCTCTGCCCTCCATGGAGGATCAGCTGTGTAGGGGCAGGGTGGTGGTGCCCTTATGTGGTCTGTAGCTGTCCACTGGGTGCACTGGCCCTGGGATTTCCCAGGTGGTGCAGGCTAAGGTCAGCACCAACCTGTAATCAACTGAGGCCATCTTGCCTGAGTCATAAAGCAATCTGAGATGGTTGCTACTTGTGCTGGGCTTGGAGAGTCCCAGGTGAAGCAAGCTGTAAATCTAGGCTGACTACTTCTACTGAGGTGCCTGGGGCGACTTAGAAGAGGTATGAGAGCTGGGGGCTCACTGAGGCCTGCTTGTTTGAGAGAGAATTTAGGAAGTTGTGAAGCATAAGCCAAGACCAGCCATTCATATGGAAAAGCCACTGTTAATAACTGTAAATGGGGTGGGAAGGAACCTCAGGTGATCTCTAGGGAGGGGCAAACAGTGTTAGGCTTGAGTCTCAGATATGGCGCCCCCCTGCTCTGTGGAAGAAAGGTTCAGAAAGGGGACAATGGCCTCTGCCACCTTTCTGTCTAGGGGAAAGCTGTCCCCCAGCTTCTGCCTTGATACCAGGCACCTCAGTTCCTCCCTACTTGCCACTAGTACCTTTCAAGCTGCTACCCTGGTAATGGAGCTCAGAGGGAGTGAGTCTAAGTCTGTGTGTGGGTTCTTTAAGAGAAATTGCTTGGCCCTGGCTAGTGTAGCTCAGTGAGTTGAGTGTGGGCCTGAAAACCAAAGTGTCGCCAGTTCGATTCCCAGTCAAGGCACATGCCTGGTTGCAGGCTATGTCCCCAGTAGGTGGTACGTGAGAGGCAACCACACATTGATGTTTCACTCCTCCTTTCTCCCCGCCTTCCCTTCTGTCTAAAAATAAATAAATAAAATCTTTGAAAAAAAAGAGGACCTGCTTGGGACTCCAGAAGTTCCTTCCACTAACTCAATCCCCACTGGTTCTTGGCAGCCAGAAGTTGTGGGGACTTATCTTTCTGCCACTGGAAGCCTGGGCTGAAGGGCCTGGTGTGGGACTG